AATACCAGTATTGCAATTTTTATTATCACTAGTAGATTAGTTTATGATAATTGATGTGACAGAAGGGAATGTGTAAAAAAGACACATAATTTTAAAAAATAATAATTGTAAATGGTCTTAAAATACTAATTTCCTCCCAACTAACACTTAAATGTGGAATGTTATTAGACTTTAATATATTACTCAAATTTGGTTAAAACACTATCAATATTATTCTTTAGTCTGTCTACATCTATAAAGGTATTCAGTGGTATAGCCTTATTACATAATGAAAAATTAAATCTCCATCAATAAGATGAATATTCAGATAATCTATCAATTAAGTTATTAAAATTTCAATATAACCTTTAATTTGTGATTTGATTGATCAATAACTTAAATATATACAATTTTCGATTCGATCAATATATTACTGGAAAGGAAATTGCAGCAGCTTCATCCTCTACCTAAACACGCAACTAATAAGCTTTCAATTAAATGACCGCTTTATAGTCTCACCAATAATTCTTTTCTTTCATACCTAGTTAAATTCGGTATAATTCGATTTTTCTCCTTTCGATTCCCTTGATTTGATAGCTTCCGTTTTTGGCATAGACAAAGAATTATCGAAACATTTTTTTATTACTAAAATGACAATTAATTTGAGAGGTAGAGAATAACTAATACATTGACATAAATTTACTCTTACCATGATACACCAAATATGAAATATCATGACAAACGTATGAATATTATTTAAATAAAAACCCTGTCATAACATTTTTGTTGTAGTGATTAACCACACATCTTTACTAGTTTTTCATATATTAATTATCACACAAATGGACTAAAGAATTAATACGTCACAATATTTGGGCATGGTACCAAATTGCATAAAACGTATATTATATTAATTAATGTTCTATAGTTTTATTAATACTTCAGATTAATTAGTGGCTATATATGCATGTTCTAAAAATCATTTGAAATAAATAGAAAATGATTATAGTGTGGACAGACTATTCAAACTTTCTTAGAAAAAATACAAATCTTATGCAAAGAGAAAAACTCAAAACATTCAAACGAAATGATTGAAATTTCACCAAACCTTTAACAGGAATTGCATGATCCTAACTACTTTTATCAATCAAGAATATATCCAAGCTAAGTTATCTGTTCTAACCCCCCCCCCCCCCCCCTCCCCCCACAATCCCAATCCACTTTTGAACAGAATCAAATTCAAAATTTAAACTTAAACAAGTTCGCGCTCCAAGTTCTGTTATAATACAATTCATTTGATCTATTAAATTTAAAATCTGTTATTTGTACTCATTTCACACACATTTTTAAGGTTAATTACACCCCTACACACTTTGGTCAATTGGACTCCTATATTTGGCTCTGTTTGTAACTTGGAAGACCCGTGTATTTTAGGATTAATTAAAATATTGTGTTCTGATGAATTTAAGAATTCAGTTGGCAAAATGATAAGTAGAAGGGTCAAAATTAACAAACAGAGCTAAGTACAAAGGTCTCCTAGATATTATTCCGCCTAAAATATATACGTAAGTGTATACATATACTATAGAAACCTATACACAACAAATACATTGATAATATATATTGTATATATTTAGACTATGATAATATTTATTTAATGTATATACTTATATGGTCCAAACCAGAGGCGGAGCTAGGTGGGGGTTCGTAGATTTGAACGAACCCAATAGCTTTTCCTTAGACCTGATATTTGTACTAGAAAATTAATTAAATATATATATATATATTAATTTGTGAATTCTAACAAAATTGATTGACGGTTCTAAAGAAAATTTAGAATCCTCAAACTCTTTATACTGGCTCCACCTCTGATCCAAATTAAAGTTATTAAATTTGAATAAACCTACTATACATGTGTACCTGCTCCAAATTTGAAAAGTGCAAGTCACACAATATAATTCATATTATTATTTCATTATATATGTATGCAGTAGTAACATGAAGTCCAAGTTTCAGTCTGACAAAATTACCCAAGTTGGACAATACAATCGTCTTGGAAAATTGCAAATCTATCACTCTAAAAATATATTAATTTAGTGCACCTTAAGATCTCAATAAACGCATTGTTCTCTTTAAAGGTGGCCAAATTAAATACGTATATGAATATAGGGGTGGATGCAAATGCGTATTTTATGGATTCATCCAAACTTAATTTAGTAGCTTTATTCATTTTAAAATAAGTGTTGCTTTAGGCAGCGGCATAGTCACACATACTTGAGGGGTGTCAACCAATGCGCTATTCCTTCGTCAAAAAATTAAACTGTGTAGTAGATAAAAATATTTTTTAATCATACATTCCTCGATTTCTACATGATTTTACTTCTTTATATTTTGATTACCCCTTAGTTGAAATTTTACGCCCCGTTCTCGCTTTTAGGGATTTGTAGGCACATAAAGATATTTTAGAGGCGAGGTATATTGGAATTTGGATCAGATAGGAGGTTGTATATAAATACATTTTTGGTCTGCGTGATTTTTTAAAGTGAAATAACAAAACATATGTTACTTTTTTTATATATAGAAAAGGAAAAAAATTGACGTTATAAACTTATTTTCAATAGTTTAGTGACCTCTTTATAAAACAATAAACTCAATAAATAAAATAGATTACGATGGAATTTTGAACTCGAACCTAAATGACCAACAACTTGTATATGTGTACTGAAGGACTCGGAACTCTAAAAACTCGTTCGAAGTGACTTCCTTAAATGCTTCATTATAGATGAAAATTCAAAATCTATCTTTAATTTAATTCGTTATCTTTCATTCACATCATGATATCTATCAAAAAAAAAAATTTACTTCAGATAATCACATCTCATGACCAAGAATGAAAATCTAGGCCATTCACATCTATGATACAAAATATTCTATAAAAATTAAATTATGGATGGTGATAACTATGTACTTATCATGATACACTGGCAGATATCATTCAATATTCACAATAAAAACACACTTTCATTAATTGAATACATCCAACGGAAAAGGCAAATAGAATTGACAAAAACTAGTTTTAATTTTAAATATTTTTGTTTACCATTTAATTAATTAATACAGCAGTAAAAAAAAGTCAACGATGGGGTAGTTTATGGTTGTAATTTAACTGCATATCGTGTTAATAGACGTGTTTTCTTTGAGTTATATTATATATATAAAAAAAGAATAAGCTCAAAATGGTCAAACAATTAATATTAGAAAATCTAACTGGATTGCTCAAGAAAGTTTGTTAATTAATTGCTCTTTTTTTCTGATATGGATTTATTCAACTCCAGAGGGCATTAATGATGGTCATTTCTATTTATGTTTATCTGGATATTGGTAATTGTAGGACCCCAAAAGGGTATACATACCAATATATATTGCACACACTTCAACACACGACCTATTCATGCAAAGAAAAGTCAAACAAGAAAGGTCGAGACGAAAAAGAAATGTTACTCGGTGTTTACATCACATCATACTATAAGTTTAAGTTATATGCATCGTTAATTTTTAACACTATCACGTAGGAGTTGGGACATCCATAGGTAAGCACACATGCAAATGTGGAATTCAATGTTTATGTTCTTACTTGACCCCTCACATTATGGAGTTCAGAATTTAATATTGTCAAATTTGATCTAGGACCTAACTTATATTAAAAAATAAGCTTAAAAAAAAGAAGATTGTCCAAGTTTTATAAGAAACTTAGGGTTTTTTTTCTCATTCGATGTGGGATCATTCTAATCAATATCCACTTACACTATCAAAATTATGAGTTTAGAATTTAATATTATCAAATTTGATCCGGGCATAACTCACACCTCAAAGATAAGTTCAAAGGAAGAGGGATTGTCCAAGTCTTCTGATAAGAGTTCTCTTCCCAGTCAGGTTTCCATTGTTTGATTCGAAGAGTGACATTCAAGGACCAAAAATATTATATTCACACACAGAGTGCAGAGACGTCACATCAGACCTAATGAACCGACTCTGATACCATATCAAATCAAGTCTTAGGTCTTACTTACACTCCAAATGCTATCGTAAAGGGAGGTGGACTATCCAAACCTTATAAGATGTCCATGATTCTATTCATTCACCGATATGGAACATTCCATTTATCAAAGAGAGGATGATTGCACATACCTTATAAGAGTTCTCTTCCCAGGTTTCCATTGTTTGATTCAAAGAGTGACATTCAAAGGACCAAGGATATATTCACACACATAGTGCATGGGCATCACATCGGACCTAACATGCTAACTCTAATACCATATCAAATCAAATCTTAGGTCTTAGTTACACTACAAAACCTAGCGTAAAGGGAGGAGATCTATTAATTCAAACCTATAAGATGTCCATGATTCCATTCATTCAACACCCCTTCTTGCATCTAGATCCAAACATTCTTTAACTGAGGCACCACTATATGATCCAGCACACGCACATTCACAAACAAATTGTATTTCCACCCAACGACTGTCCAATTTTTTGAGGGCTCACATCCGATCCGACTCTTATACCATACTTAGTCAATACTAATTCTCATTTAAACTTTCTCATAACAAATTATTATAAACTAATATAATTTAATATAAAAAATCAACCGTGATTAGGGTAAAGAAGTGGCAAGTGTGCTGTTTTCCAACAAGTAGCAAAAAAAAACCTCTAAAATATTTTCAAACAAAAACAGAAAACTAGGTAGACGGTCACCAACACTCTAACCTACCCAAAATGTTGCTAACCAAATATAACGAAAAGAAAAATTTAGATCACCTAGTATAAAAATACCAATTATTTTAAGAAGAAAAAAAAAATTCTCACAAAATATTAGTATAAAAAAACGAAATAACAAAGAAAGTAACCATTTTTTAATTTGGGCGGCAATTAAATGCAAAGAGTCAACGTTCTTAATTTTTTCCCCCTATAAATTCCTTCTTCCTCTGTTCTAATTTTCATCAAAACCTTTACAACTTTTCTGTCAAAAAAATGTCACTTCCACTAAAAAATATAGTTTTTCCAATGATTTTACTAAAAGTAGCAGAATGGTTTCTTTACAAACTCCTCGCAAATTCATGTTATAAAGCAGCAATGAAAGTTAAAAATTCTCGATTTTTTTTCAAGAATTCATCTTTTAGATCATCTCATCAAATTCCTCTGTACCCAAACATCTCGAAATGTAACAATATAAGAAAATCGGAAACAGTTATATGTGATATTCAATCTACATTACTTAGATCTGAATCATTTTTTCCGTATTTCATGTTAATTGCTTTCGAAGGTGGCAGTATATTAAGAGCTCTGTTTTTGCTTCTGTCAAGTCCTCTGTTATTCGTTCTTGATTTCGAAGCTAAATTGAGAGTTATGGTGTTTATATCTTTCTGTGGGATGAAAATTAAGGATGTTGAATGTGTTGGTAGAGCTGTTTTACCTAAGTTTTATCTTGAAAATTTGAATGTTGGTGTTTACGAGGTGATGAAATCTGCAGGGGAAAGAATGGTGTTTACGAGTGTGCCTAGAGTTATGGTGGAAAGTTTTTTGAAGGAATATTTGAGTGTTGATTGTGTTAAAGGGACTGAATTGCATTGTTTTGGGAATTATTTTAGTGGATTTGTTTCATCTTCTGGGATTTTGATTAAGCATAGAGCATTGATGGAAGTTGTTAGTGAGAAAAAACCAGATATTGGTATTGGAAATTCAAGTCTTCATGATCATTTGTTTATCTCCCTTTGCAAGGTATGCTTTTAGTGCTTCCTTTGGTTTTTTTTTTTTCTTCGGTGTTCGATACTTGCTTTGAATTATGATGAGTTATTTGTGTTTGTGTCTAAAAATCCGTAAAACCTTCTTACCAATCACTCCACAACAACTCAATTCAGTGTTTGATATCAGATACAAGTTATTTGTGTTTGTGCCTGAATATATATATATGATATTCTTTTCTTTTTAATCTGTTAAGAAATGATGTATTTTTATATGTTTTTTGTGATCTTCTTATTTTGAATTTAAAATTTTCTTTTTACTATTAAATATGATACGATATTATAATCATTGAAATATAATGATATGAATAGAATATAAGTTTTAAGGATATAGTTGGTTGGTATGAATAGGTAGAACTAGATCTTGAACTTTATGTATCCTAAATTTGCCATTAAATTTATGGGTTGAATTTCTCTAAATTATTGAAATTCATATAATTTAGAATTTCTCTTGTTCACACTTTAAAATTTATATAAGTTTTTAATGAAATTCCTAATATAAACAAAAGTTTTTAAGTAAAAATTGTTGAATTTCTCTCAAACTCATATGTAATATTGTAGTTCCGTCTCTATAAGTAGGTAGAGGAGGAGCATTTGAAGCTTACGACTTTCAAAGTCTAATATTTTAAGTTATAGATACATATTCGATGGACTTTTAAGTCAAATACTATGTTTAAATCAAGGCTATTTAGTTTGGCCGAATTCATTGCCGATACTCTCCCTCCGTCCTTATAGGTATGTAGAGAAGGAATCAACAAGGCTATTTTATAATTATTTAAGTTATTCGATTTTAAATCAATAATATGTACATATTTAATCGACTTTTAAGATAAATACTAAATTTTCCTGTGGCCGACACTCCCACTCCACCCCTATAGAAATGTAAGAATGTGTCTATGTTTTTAAAAACTCTGTATCCAATTAATCTCCGACATTATTGAATTACACAGAGGAAATATAAATTTTCCATCGACCTCACTTTTCATTTATCAAGTTACAGTTGTATTCCTTTGCCAGGTAATAAGAAAATCTCTGCTAATGAAAAAGACCTTCAACTAAATCTGGTCCCATTATTCTTCAGATGTTTATTTATTTTGTACTGTTGTAGTGACTTGACACTTTCAAGGCATATGATTGTTCTGCATTTAGGTTTTTTTGAGTATTTCATTATGCAAAACTAAAAATAAAAATAAATTAAATTCAACAACATTTAGTTACAAAACTTTGTAAATATCAAAACTTATCATTCATTTCACATGACATGTCCTTGGTTATTCATGTGTCAATATTCTTAGTACGAGAGTCAAATTATTTAATTTTAAGCAGTGTTGAAGCTTAGAAACATATTCAGTCAAATTCAGTAGCTTTTGCTCAAACAGTGAATCTATATTAACAAATTCATGAAAATTTTAGTTGTTATCATTCTAAATACAGAATGATACATAAAGTTGAAATTCTGATTTTGCGTCTGTTACAGGAAGCTTATGTGGTGAACAAAGAGGATGAAAAGGCTCAGTCAATATTACCAAGGGAAAAATACCCAAAGCCATTAGTTTTTCATGATGGAAGGCTAGCATTTCTACCTACACCTCTTGCAACATTAGCCATGTTTATGTGGCTACCAATTGGGATTCCACTATCCATTTTTAGAATCTTAATTGGCATATGTTTGCCTTACAAAGTAGCTGTTTTGTTGGGAAAATTAAGTGGTATAAGACTCAGAGTTAAAGGTACTGACCCTCCAAGATCTGAAAATGACAAAGGAGTCCTATATGTTTGCACTCATAGAACACTTTTGGACCCTGTATTTCTTAGCACATCTTTGGGAAAGCCTTTAACAGCAGTGACTTATAGTTTAAGCAAAATGTCTGAAATTCTTGCTCCTATTAAAACTGTGAGATTGACAAGATCAAGACAAAAAGATGGAGAAGCCATGCAAAGATTGCTTAGTGAAGGTAATGTTCAAATACTCCTATTTTTCGTTCTACGTAAAAGTATTTGACTAGACATAAGTTTTTTTTTCTAAGTGACTATAATCTGACGACTTCTATCGCTAAACATAGAAAAATCATAACGATTTCTTACTGAAGTTAATGTCAAAATACTCCTTTTTTTTTTCATTCAATGTGAAAGTATTTGACTAGACCTACATTTTTCTATGTCACTAAACATCAATAATTCGTAAAGATTACTTAGTGAAGGTTATGTCAAAAAAATGTTCTTATTTTTTCGTTCTATGTGACTATAAACTGACAACTTCTGTTGCTAAACATCAAAAAAAGATTGTTTAGTGAAGGTAATGTCATAAAATATTCTTATTTTTCGTTCTATGTGACTATAAACTGACAACTTCTGTCACTAAACATCAAAAAATTCGTAACTAATTTCAATTTATATTTTTCTTATAGGTGACTTAGTGGTATGCCCAGAAGGGACAACATGTAGAGAGCCATATCTATTAAGGTTCAGTTCACTATTTGCAGAATTAGCAGATGAGATTGTACCAGTGGCTATGAACACAAATGTTAGCATGTTTTATGGTACAACAGCTAGTGGGCTTAAATGTTTGGACCCAATTTTCTTCTTGATGAATCCAAGGCCTTGTTACAATGTTGAAATATTAGGCAAATTACCAAAAGAATTGACTTGTGCTGGTGGAAAATCAAGTCATGAAGTGGCTAATTATATACAAAGACAATTAGGTGCTGCATTGGGATTTGAGTGCACTAATCTTACAAGAAGGGATAAATATTTAATGCTTGCTGGTAATGAAGGGGTAGTTGAAGATCAAAATTCAAGAATAAATACCCCTAATTAATTTAATTATGGAGTATATAGGATTAGTGTTTTTTTTAATCTTTCTTTGTTATATTCACTTTATTTAGTATAGCACATATATAAATGTGAGTATATGTTTATTACTCCCTCTGTTCCATTTTATATGTCATTTCTTTCTATAAATAGTTGGTCCATAATACTTGTCATTTCATAAAATCAATACATAAATTACCATATTGTTTCTTTTTTACCCTTGTGAGTTATTAGCCTTGAAAATATTCATTTGACCAACTTAGAAAAATGATTCATGTTCATTGGTTAAATTAACTAATCAAAATAAATTAATTCATATTCATTGATTGAAAACTTGAGTTCCAAAAAAATTAAATAAGGGTAGAAGGGTAAAGTTACATCATTTCTTAATGCAAGTGCAAAGTAAAAAGGTGACATATAAAATTGGACGGAGGGAGTATGCAATTAGTGGTAATGTATGTAATTTTTTCCATCTTCGTTCACATTTGATTAATGGAGTAATAGTATTCTTCTTTTTTTGAATATTTATGTGCTAAAATGATATTTGAAATTGGATAATTAGAGAGAGTAATTGAGACATCTCTCATAGCGATTGGAATGTTAATTCTGTTCTTATAGTCTAAAAGTGGTAATGTATGTAATTTTTCCATCTTTATTAATGGAGGGATAATATTATTTTTTTGTTGAATATTTATGTGGGACCTTAATAAAATAATCTTTAAAAATGGATGGGAAAGAGTAATTGAGACATCTTTCATATATCTTTCACAAGTAAATACGATTGGATACTAATTCTATTCTTGTGGTCTAAAAATGGTAATATATGAAAAAAAAAATTCATCTTGATTAATGGAATAATAATATCTTTTTTGAATATTTAAATGCGACTTTAATAAAATGATGTTTAGAAATGGATTGTCAAATAGAGTAATTGAGACATCTCACATATATCTTTTGCAAGCAAATAATTCTATTCTTTTAGAAGTAAATGCGATTGGGATACTAATTATATTCTATTCTTGAGATTAAAATTTTTGAGGACTTATATGCAGAAGTACTAATTCTATTCTTGTGGTCTAATATTGAGTTGTATGTAGAAGTACGACTTTTTATATTATATTATTTTCGTTAGTAAATACAGTTTATGTATGTAAGTTATTTAACTAACTATTATAACTTGCTCAACTTTTATCTCTAAAAAAAATCCTTGATATGTCCTCAAACTTTTTAAACCGTTTATGGTGAACTAAGGGTATATTTGGAAGGAAAGAAAACTAATTTTTGATCCCACCTTAGGTCCAAATTAATTTGACTTAAAAGTCATTTATTTGAAGGTCCATAGTATTTGTTGGCGCTGCAATATATGAGTTGGCATTGATTTAATTATGTGATACGTGTCTCTCTTTCAAATAAGAATTTGATAAGAATGAAAAAAAAGTAAGAAATGAAGTGGAGTTAAATTCGTAATAATTCAGTCACTATGCTATTATTAATAAGTAACTAAAGCAGAACTATCTTAGATTTTATTTGAATGTGCCTTTGTCTAAAGTTCCCATTGCACATTAATTATAAAATTTGAATGATTGTTATCAGTCTTGTTATTAATTAATCGTACTCAACGGCATTTTTGAAAACGTGACACTTAAAAGAAATAGGGTCATCATGTTTGCTGAGTTGTTGTTGAACATGTTATGGTTCCTAAGATTAGCCATACATATATGCCAAAAATATATACAAAGAAATTGATTAGGTATCGTTTGATAATTGATTTGGAAGTAAGATATATTGGTATTAAATTATGTATAACTAATATTTATACGTTTCATAAGTGATTAGGAGGTAAGTTATTCAGGTAGAAAATTATTGTAGTGTTTAGTCTGCAATTAAAAATTTACATACATGTATAAATTATCAGGAAATCCTCATATTATTTTATATAGGATAAAAGATGAAATGATTGAACATGTAGAAATTTATTTCAAGCAATGTTTTAAAAAATGAGGTGTGGGCAAGACATTATACTTAGTATGAGGTGATGCGTAAGTTGGAGACTTGGAGGCATGGGACACGTAAGATAGCCCCATAATTTTTAATTTTGTAATTTATAATGTAGTAAATAGTATAATAATATAAAAATTATAAAAATACATTAATAATTTTTAAAAAAAATGAATCTCGTAAAAAACAAAATTACTAACACGATTTTACAAATATAAATAATTCAATGGTAGATATACATATCAACTCTAACCTCTTAACTTTCAAACAATAAAAGAATCACAATTTCTTAAGATTTATTATTATCATATTTTACAATTTACCTTCCTCTATAAGAAAATAATTAATAAAATTTATTGGTGTTATAATAGAAACATCACTCATTCATGAATAAAATTAAATTAAATTACTTTTATATAATAAAATAACAAAAAATATAATAAGGCATAGGACAAAAACATATAAACTAATAACAAATAAAAATGTGAAATTTGGCAATGTAGGACATAAACATAAATCTATCCAATCCCACACAATTCTTTGGATTCCATAAAGCAGAAGCATCGTCATTTAATTTTGATAGAGAGTGATTCACAATTTTAATTAAGCAATTTAAAATATGAAAAAATATATACACGAAGAAGTTGAAGGAGATTTAACATAATTCACTATGTATAGATAAAATTAATTTTAACTATATATAAACAATATAATTTTTTATTTCAAACTATGTAAAGGTGGATTTTGGGCATAACTCAACCCAAAATCTAGCTCATAGAGGAAGAATTATCCAGGTCTATATAAAGAGATCAATTTCTCATCTTTTTTTCGATGTGAGACTTTCTAACACTCCCCTACATGTCCAGACCTTATTAACTAAAACGTGAACACTACAACATGAATGTGTAACATTGGTGAACAAAGAATTGAATAGACCCAATTCTAATATCACGTAAAGATAAATTTTGGACCTAATCTCCCGTCCCCCTACATAGCTAGGCCCCTGCCTCTATCCACAGTGTTTTCTTTTTTCACATTAATTGTAAATTTTGTATGATTGTTATCAGTCTTGTTAATAATGTGATTGTACTGGACAGCTTTTCGAAAACGTGTCATCATTAAATTAAAATTTAAAAGAAATAGGGTCATCATGCTGCTGCGGGTAATTGAAGAAATTATATTATGGTTCCTCCTTTATTAAGCCATGCATATATGCACAAAAAATTAAAAAATATATCTTCTCCAGTTAGTTTTTGTTTGTCTATATGTTAATTGACTAATAGGTAAAGGAACTAAATGATCAACCAGTCTTGTACATTCACCAATATATAGTGCATTAAAATGAACATGTACAAAATATATCTACTTCAGTATGATCAATTTAATTGCATGTCCCTGAAACAACACTATTTACTCCCTTAAAAGAGTAGTTTAGTCGCAGCAGCAAAATCAAAATTTTTATTAAATGGATCGATATATGAAAAAGTACTAACCGCATGAATTAATGAAGAGGGTTTAACATTTACAATATATATATATAAATAATTTTAACTATTTATAAATAATAGTATAATTTTTCCGAATCCTTATCCTTAAGTTGGCTCCGACCCTACTTATATAAGAACTAATTAATCATCAATCGAGTACGTACGTAGTCTGATTTTCCTGACTTGTATTTGAAAATATTTGTCATCAGTAATAAGTGTGTTCATATATAGTACATCTTGTGGAGTAATATTAGCTCCCAAAAAAAAAAAAAATAATAATAAATAAATAATAATAATAAATATATATATATATATATATATATAGGAGTACTTAATTACATATAGAGTCTCTATGGAAGATCAGAACTGGAAAAGTAAATAAGCGGATCAGATCGAATATTGACAGAAATAAATAAAATATCGAAGCTGTTCATATAACATGGATAAAAAAGGATTAATCAATGGGTGATGTGAATACATTGTCTATATATGGTGATGTGAGAATACACAAGCTAAAAATCAAAATAGATTTAGAATTTCAGAAAAAACAAGAACATATATAAAAAATAATAAGCTGACAAATGGATATTAATTGATGAACACAGTAATTCGCAAAAAAAAGAATATCATATAGTTATAGTAGATTCATACACATACAAGAGACAATTGCTTCTTAGCATAAAATGGATATTCACATTTGATCCTTTTTTAAATCGTCAGTTATCTAACTATGATTCTTATTCCTTTATTTAAATAGCTCCATCCAGAGACTTTGAGTTTGAATTCGAATTCTTTTGGGTATGACATTGCTTTTATAGATAGCGTTTTATCAGTCAATATGGGGCTTTTCGACGTGATTTTAATTTAGTCAGGCTCCAATATAGATAATCGATACCATATGAAAAGACAAGGCATCTGAAAGTGCATGCATCAACCATATGAAACGTCCATTGCCTTCGTACGTACGTATGAGCTAAATAAGTAAGCAACTAAACACCCATACCATAATATTTCAAACTTTATTTGTTTTGGAGAAGATAACAAAACAGTATTTTTTTTCGATATATTTTTACTTTTTCACTATAATAAAAATAATAATTTATTTTTACTTGTTTATTTTAGAGGAAAAACAATTTCTTTTTTAATTTCTTCATATTCTACCCTTATCATTAACTACTCACTCCCCAAATAATTTTTCAAATCAATTGAGAGCTGATACTATACACCAATTAATACGAATATTTATATTATCATTTGATATACACCCATTCGGTGCACATGGCTATATATTACTAGTTTTTACGTTTAGGTTTATGAAACCATAACGTACACGAACTTATATATTCTGACGTAAGAGTGTTGAAATTTAGGTAGATGAAGAATAATGAGAGCTATTTAAACATTTTTTCACATGTAAGAAATTATAAGGGGTATACGTATCATTATCGTTCTTGGCATGCATGCGCTGAATTAGTTTTGGATATTTGTAGCTTTAAAGTAACAATATATTGATTATTGAGCGTTAGAGAATATATATATATATATATAACCAAAATTTGACTGGTATATATAACGTAATTTTCCGACGAAAGGTGTCACTCGACACCCCTTAACCAAGGGTGGGTCCTCCCCTATTCAATTCAAGTCGATATTGTTAGGACCGAAATAAGCAGGTGTAACACAGAAGCTAGCAAAGCAAACCTCGAAAGACCATGAGTAAGAAGACAAACGAGAAATATACAAAGACACAAAGATTTAACGTAGTTCGGTCAATCGACCTACGTCCACAAAGGAGATGAGCAATCCACTATATAAACATGAGAGTACAAAATATAGAGAGAAATAACCTCAACCAATTCACTCGGAATACATGGGAGGTTCACACAAGTGATAACGTATCAAGCTTGTGACCCACAAATTCCCCCCCTAACCAAAACTCTCAAAGCCCTTAAGACTACATTGTGAATGCTAATTAAGTTAGAAGGAACAAGCCTATATTTATAGAGTTCTAAACCTTTTCCTACAAGAAAAGGACTAGCCAATCCAAAACCTTTTCCTAAAAGGAAAACCTAATTATGGTAAGGAATTCAGGGCAAATAAAACCCAACAAATCTCCCCCTTGGCTAGAATTTCTGACAAAATAAATTTGTCCACCTTCTTCACATAATCTTCGACAACTTGTTTCTCCTCTCCATAATCTCCTCCATCAAATCTATGTATCAACACAGAGAACTTCTTTGAAACAATTTCTCCAACAAAGATCTTCATTACTGTCAAAAAGGTTGCGACTAGAACTACACCCGCCAAGATGAACACCCATCTGTAACCTAGTTCCATCATTGAACCATGGCTCTGATACCACTTGTTAGGACCGAAAATAATTAGGTGTAGTGTGGAAGCTGGCAAAGCAAACCCAACAGATATTTGACCAACACGCCTTAAATGGAATAGACGATGGAGTAATAATTTCTTACAAATGTGAATCAATTGTTATTTGAAAATCTTACAATCATACTCGAACAGTGGTAAAATCAAATTTTTCATTAAGAAAATTCAATTTATAAAAAAATCAACACATGAAAAAGTAACATAATTTCCTATCGAAGAAGGTTCAGATGAAACTCCAATGCACCGTGCAGATTTCGACGCTCCGCCATGCCTTGAGGTGCGCATACACATAATTATGGAAATGACGTAATGTTTCTTCGCTAGCTATAGTTGTGTCATGCCCCGTAGTTTTGCTGTTCATTGTTCTCAGACGCCTCTTTGACTATCTTTATTTATTGCTCCATTCGTCCATTTTATTTCTTACGAGTACGTATGTTAAATTAAACATGAACAAATAAATATAGACGGAGAGAATACATGTATAGGTGTTGAGTTCAGTACCTCAGCCTCTCACTTAGATGGAGGGAATACACTAATTCTAATGCCAATTATAAGGCCATCTGTAGACACAATATTTTATGAATATAGCTGTGGTATCACAGAGATGGTTTTTGGAATTTGTGATACTGTCCGGCCCACTCTTATATGTGGGCTGTAGTCATCCACTAGACCATGGGCTTGCTCTTCTGGTTCTGGGCTTCCACAGTTTCTATAACGAATTTTTTTCATAAATAGTTGTAGTTTGGATCATAATTATGAATAGTGTCAATAGTTTGTCTAATTACAATTAATAACAATAGTTTTAAAGAGGAGAGAGGCGAGTGAGATCGCGACACATAAAGGAGAGAGACAACACACTATATCTCAAATACACAACGTCCTATCTCCCAATCTCGCACACAAACACACAAATAGGGGTGGCAAATCAAATTTAACCCGCCCAACCAAACGCAATTCATTTAAGTTTCGGTTGGTTATTGACCCACCCATTTGTTAGCTCAACCCATTTCAACTCATTAAAAATTGGATTGATATGTAACCCAAATTGATTTTTGAGAAATTCAAATATTTTTAATTTTAATTTTTAATTTTATATGTTATATATAGTTATAATAAAGTATTTTTTTATCAGGTACTAAAAGCTTATAATATAACAAATAAGGGCAAATTACTGAAATCACATACTTTTAAGGCAAAATTACAATTTATCCCTTAAAAGTTTATAATTACAGAAATCCCTCAAACGAATACAATAATATAAGCGCTGATACATTAATCTGATGCGCGAGATACATTAATCATTAAGTAAGATACATTACATTTTATACATGATACACTAATCTGATGTACATTTTATACATGATACACTAATCTGATGTGCGAGATACAATAATATAAGCGCTGATACATTAATCTGATGCGCGAGATACACTAATCTGATGTGCGAAAATGAGGGATTTTGGAAATTTGTAAAACTTGTAGGGGATAATGGTAATAAGTAAACTAAAATGTGGGATTTCTGTAAATTTTCCATATATAAGCTTTGAAACTGAAACATAGATACATAAATACACATTGTATCACTCCTAAAATAAACCAATATATATATATAAGCTTTGAAACTGAAACATAGATACATAAATACACATTGTATCACTCCTAAAATAAACCGAGAAAATGGTCAAATGCCCCCTCAACGTATAACCGGATTTCCAACTACACGCTTAAACTTTACGAGAGTCCTATCACCCCCCTGAACTATTTAAAAATGAAATAATTATACCCTTAAAAAGCCATAACCAAATCTATGGTGGCATGTGAGTTTCACGCGTTTGACACATCATCATTTTTATTTTTATTTTTATATTTCTTTACCCTTTTCTTCTATATTCCTACTCATCCCTTCAAACACCCAAAATATTTTCACCATCATTAGAACACCATAAGTTCATGAAATTGGGTCTTTAAGGAAGAAAGGTGAATAATAATTTCAAAGCTCGTTCAGAGATATTCGGGTTTTGCTCATTTGAAACCTAAAAATCAAATTTAAAAAAAAAGTGAAGGGGGGGGGGGGGGGGGGAGAGAAGACGAATATGATGGAATATTATCATTAATGGTGGTCACCAAAGATAAGCAATCCTCTCAAGGAAGATGAGGAGGAAGAGCCTACTATGTCTTCCACATCATCATCTATGGCGACGACAATTTCAAAGAGGAAGAGACTGATTCTACAAAAGTTGATGGATTTACAAAATTAATAGCGACAATTTTTTAGATATAGTTGATTGATTGAGATTTGATATTGATAATTAAAGGATCTATTAGTAAGAAAATATTTTTTTTCGGTTGGTCCAATCGGATTTAAAGTAAATCTATATTGATTTTTTTCAAATCAGATCTAATGTATCTTGTGGTGATATAAATATATGTAAATTCTTCTCAATTGATATAGGTTGATTGGTTTTGCAAGAGTTTTATATGAGTTTGAAAATTTGTTTGGAATCAACAATAGTGAATCCGGTGAAGATGGTAGTGGCAGCAAGACTTAGAGGTGGTGAAAGATTGAGAGATTTGTTTATATTGATGGAGAAGAAAGAAAACAAATAATTAAAAATGCATATATTTATCGAAAAGAGATATTAAAAATAAAGTTTTAATAATAGATTTTGATGCTCACTCTTCCAAAGAGAGTGAAATACACTCACTATGCTAGCTAAGCATTCAGAGAGGTAATTATTTTAGTTTTAAATAGTACAGAGGGGTGATAGGACTTCCGTAAAGTTTAAGTGTGTAGTTGGAAATTCGAATAAACGTTGAGGGGGCATTTGACCTTTTTCTCAAATAAACCAATGTAAAGTACCTTGTAAAGTACGTAGGCATAATTAAATTTAATTCAATCTTAAAAGCTAGTTCAAGAGGTGAGAATCGCCCAAAGAACCAATTTAACCCTCCCCACAACCAATGTTGGAATTCATCAGTGAAATTGTAGTTCCTCCTGCAGAAATTGAGGGTCGCCAAAACGGATTCTATTTTAATTTCATTAGATGAAGAGCAGATTTGGACCTTTTTCTCGAAATATTAAGAGCAAAATCAAATTCAATGAGATTTGGGAAGGATAGAATATACACAAATCTAGCTCAATCCTTGCGAAATTTGGAATAGAATTCCTCTCGAAAATTTGTAAGCCTCGCTGATATACCATTATTAACTAATACGACGTTATAATTTGAATGAGTTTTATCATTGAATTTTCTCCGGTAAAACTAGAATATACTCCAAATGAGCTCAAATTTAAACCACAAATCATTTAAGTTCTGCTTTCTATCTCCCTTTTGCTTTTCTTATCCTCTCTTTCTTTTGCTTTAATTTTTACAGGTCGCAATATACAAAGGAAGATTGCAACTCTCACATCTTGTCATCAGCTATTCACAATCTGTCAGTGGAAACTTCTTCCTTTTTACACAATTCCCAAGTTAGATTATGTTGTCTAACCAGCCTAAAAACATATTCATATATTTAATTATTTTATAATAGATAATGAATCATCTTGACTTGTTCGTATTTCTGAACTTTCTTAATGAAAATTCTAACTCTGCCGTTGTTTCTCTGGATTTAGCAAAACAAAAGCAATGTGTATCATATTCTTTTATCCACATAACTATTTATCAGTTCTATATGCTTTTACAAACTTATAAGAAACCTTAGTTTCTAGCTAACAAAGTAGCTGCACTACAAATCCAGCAACATCAAGATGTCATTTCAGCAAATTGATTTGAAAAAAAAAACAACTTGTTACCAATTTGACATCACTGATCACATCATTTCTGTTAACTCAATGTCGTATATCGAGCAGCAGTATGTTGTACTCCACAATCGCCATGTAAAAATTCGGCTTCAGAGGATGTTATGATAGTCTGCTAGCAGTATCGCGAGACAAATTAAAATGTGGTGGTGATAATTCAGGAAGATAGTTGGAGATACAGCTGCTGAAGTAGTAGGCGTGATTGGCCCAGCGCCAAATACTGTTGAACCACTTGAATTCGTCGTATTCAAAATGGATGCACTTGTGCTGCAATTCACAAGATTAATCAGAAAATATTGCACTATACGGGGCTCAGATGGTAAGCACCCTCCACCTCCAATCCTGAGATTGTAGGTTCGAGGGGTAAAAGCATTAATACAACTTTATTCACCTTGTTGATGGATATTGACATGAGCCACTACCTGCATACGCGAATTTAAGGAGAAAATTAGGATTAATAGCATGTAACAGAGTGAATTTTTCGATTTGGTTTTGGACTAATGGGAATAGTTAGCTTACTAGGATCAGTGTTTGTAGTAACAGCAGCACCAGCAAAATTGCAGCTATTAGGAATTGGATTTTTCTGATAGTAACTATTGAATGCAAAGGACGTGTGAGCGCGGAGCGTATTGGGATTGTAGCAGGTGCCACCAGTCTGAATGGCAGAGCAATCAGCACCACCGTACCCACAAGCATAGTCCAGAGCGACCTGCAGGGTTGTTAGTGAGGCAGCTTGACTAGCGACGCACCAGCTGCTTGAGCCTGATGAATATGTTGGGGAATTGGTTACAGATGGTGTCAGTACCGGATTGGAAGGACCGTTAGAGGTCGAATCGGGATCCGAGATTGTTGGATTCAGTACTGGAGTAGTTGAAGTGGGAGTAATGGTGAGAGGAGTTCCAGTTGGAACTGTTGTTATTGGAGTTGTTATGTCCTTTTGGCTACTGGAAATGGACTTGGGGTTGTGTGTAGCATTTGAACCTGCAAAGTTACAAAAACAATAATATAAAAGTTTGTTCTCTCTAACAATATAAGTTTTTCAGATGAAATGATCACACACTTCAATATGTTATCAGAGCAGACATAAATTTTGTGATGAAATTTGACTAAAAGTATGCTCTTCGTTAACTGTTTAAATTTTTAGATGAGATAGTGACCGTTTCATAATATAATGAACGAAAAAACTTAAGCTAGGGACACTTTTACTGCAATTATGTATACAACTTAAAGAGAAGTATTCCTTACCTGTAATGAAAGCGACATCCAATTTAACTTTTACCAATTGGGATGAAATTATTTCTGTTCGTGTAATTATGACTACTTTCTACCCTTTATGCTTCCTTGATCAAATCGCAGAAATATTATAGAAATATGTAATTCTTAAGCTAAATCAGATTTGGTTTGTTAGTTGCCTTTGCTAGAGAACAGTTTACCCCTAATATGAAACTTCCCGTCCCAAAGAATTTGATTTGACAAGGGGAAAATGGGCACTATAGACATTCAAATTTTGAAGGAACATAATCAGCAAAGGTAAAAGATGGATGGGAGAGTCAAAAAAGATGAAATTAATAATCATTGTCTTTTTTCAAAAAGGGGAAAGTTTAATAGTCAATCACTCGATCTCTGTATAATAATTCAAACAGTGAATTCAAAATTAAAACTTCATTCACATGCAAATTATCCTATGATAACAAGAATTATGACTAAAACATCAAATCATCAATGTTCTTTTAGATACATAATACTCCATTAATAGTACTCAAATGGAAATGAGCTAAAGAGTTATTAAAATTAGCATCCCAAAAAAAGTACTCTATAAGAAATAGCATCATTTTGCCTCATAAAAACAGAGAGAATAAGATACCCTATAACAAAAAAAAAACATAGATTTGATTTTCTCGTCATTCAACTAATAGTTATTATCTCATAAAGCTGACTATCTGATATAATAAATACTCTATTAGTATGCATCACTATTATAAGAAGATAAAGATTGTTACCTGAACAGATAAGAAGACAACAGAGTTGGATGAATATGTAAAAACTCCTGAGAATCCTCCTACTCATTGTCCTGAAATTTCTAACTTGTTTCGTCATTTTTTGTTGCGATTTCAAAATTCGCTCTCACGATCGTTTGAAACGAACCATAATAATATTTTTGTGCATATGTATATATATTTATACCAATCTTGAGTAGTACTACAACTACTATCTCTTTTTTTCTTTTGCAGGGCTTTGTGTAGTGAGAGAGAAATAGAAATAGAAAGAGAAAGAGAAAGAGAAAGAGAGAGAGAAAGAGATTTTAGGTGAGAGAGTTGAGTAAAGGAAAGTTGAGACATAACAAGGGGGAGGAAGAAGAAAAAGGTACAAAAAGGGGGAAGTGGAAGGAGTAGAAGAAAAGAAGAGGGAATTGTTTGGAAATTTTTAAGTGTGGGGGGTGTTGAAGTAGTGATGAAGGTAATGATGATGATGATATGTTCAAAATTTAACTTTTTTTTGTTTGTTGTTTGGTGATTTGGATTTTGGAACTTTATCCTATTTCAATGGGACTATAAAAAAATTATAGTAGCCAATGATCAATTAGCCATACTTGGTGGAAGGCCAACCAAGTGATGATGCATGCTTCTATTGCTCTCACTTATTATTGTGTCATGTGCTCTTGTGGAGTTGTGGTCTCCTTTCAATATCTTTGTGTTACACTTCTTCCAAATATGCCCTCACTCACCATAATTTACAAGAGACGAAAGAGGAATAATTTGTTACCTCATCAGGTTTGGTAAAGATAAGATCGTTGTTATTACTTGAGGAAGAGATTTTCTTTGCTAAGATCCAACTGTGATCATAGTAAATTTAAAAAAAAATTAAATCATAAATATTTTGAACTCTTTTTGATACGTCGCTTTCAGCTCGAACCTGAGATCGTCATGTCGTTAGTTGGTGTTTGAAACCAATTGCACGGGAATCTACGTGAATCAAGTGAACGAGAAATTATCAATGTAAAAGTACTCTATGAACTTAGCTAAACATATAAGGTGTAGTAATTATCCATAAGATATTATTTTCTTATGTAGTCACGACTTGGATAATTTACCAAAAAGGTCCAATTCTTATCCATTTCATATATATCTAGTTAAAACGTGATTATCTGAAGTGAATTTTATTCTTTTATAGTAATACTCTATTATTAACAATTAAAATGATGAGAGCGAGCACAACAATTACATAACTAAGAAGATGGGATGAGCACATAAAGTGTATTATTGCCTAGTATTTCTTGGTTGGGTTGTTGTAATGATCATTGACACACCAACTACATGGTATACATACGTAACATAATCATCTAATCTTTCCATTTCTTCACCTCTTTTGGCCAAGGTGTCTTATCAATTGATATGTTTTTTTTCCTTAAAGACAAGACTTAGGAAGAAATAATAATATCTATATTTTTGGCCACATGGTCTCAAACATTCATGTCTCCAAAGCAATTACACAACTAGTACAAAGTTGGTAATATGTTACTTTATTTTCTTGCTCTCAGAGTTATTGTAGGTAGGGCACTTAAATTTTTCAGTATTAAACCCCACTGGTTCTTGCTTTCTCACGCAATATATAAGGCCCACTTTTTCTATGGATGCTAACTGACTATCCATAAAATACATAAACTTTTTTGTCATATAGTTTTATCTATCTACAATGCAAATCTTGTTGCAATGAACCTCAAAGTTTGTGTTTGAAATTGATATGTTTTGCTTACAATTGACAATCCTAAGAAGTTGTTACAACACTTAAAAAAACTAAAGAAACTATTGACGGACAAAATTTTGTAGATAAATAAAAAAAATTACATGTTAATTCTATTTAGCTAGGGATTAGCAATGGATATATTATATGAAAATCCAATTAGCTATGAGATATATATCGACAGATTAGCTAGGAATTACTAGTGAATTTCGTAGCTAATTTCATATTTTCTAGTAGTGATATTAAAGTTCAAACTTGTTTAAATAGTTTGTAGTATCACATATTGTTCAATTTATCCTTGTATTATCCAAAATAGAATTACTTTACCCTTTATTAATATTAGTTCGCCGCTAGAAAAAAATCTTATTTTTGCCCTTAATTCCCCTAAGGAGCTCCAACACATGATAATTTTATAAATTATAAATAAGAAGTTAAAGTGGTAAATTTTAGTTTTTCTTCGGAAAGAATTTAGATACGTGAAGTTGATCCATTTTACGCCAGAATTATATTCATTCAAAGGAAAATACAATACAATAAGATTTGCTAAGTACCAAGAGTGTCAAAGGTGTAGGGAATGACAATTTTGGATGGTATGGGGGCAATTTTGGCCTTTTGTTACTTCATGGTAATTGAGATTTGAGAATTGATGAGTGGTAGCATTAAATTCTTGATAGTGAAAGAATTTAAAAATAGCTCACTAGCAAAATTATTATTTTAAAATTTATCATCTCCTTCTCTCTGCCCCTGGTCAATAAAAAAAAGTTATTTTACTTAAAATAAAAAAGAGAGAAAAATCCTTTGTAGCATTGCATGTCTTGTAGAATTTGAAGGACTTTATCTACAATTCTATTAGAGCAGAAAAGAAAAGATGCTAAATATGTACTTTTTACTATAATTGCGGCAATATTTGTGGCTTTAACATATGCTTATTTTAGTTTATTTGTCTAATTTTAATGTAAGTAAAAAAACATTAAATCTTATCATCTTAAAAAAATAATAAGTAAAACATATATATATATATATATATATAAAGGTAACTTATAGAATTTTCGACTAATTTAGTAGTTAATTACTTAGATACACGCTAGTTTGAAATATTACGAATCCTACTGGATCTTGTTGTGTCCAGATATTTGTTTCTCGGGATACATAAGATCAAAATTAGGTGTAATTTGTTTTAGATACACCGTATTCAAGTGAATTCGCATGCATATGGCATGCATATGGGATACATAGACAAATCTTGCTCGTCCCCCTTCTTGTTCTCGCTCACCTCTCTCCCTATTTCAATGTATCTGGTAACAAAAAAACATGTATATAAGTGTATCTGACTTGAAATATGATATGAAATTATTAATTAGTGAGATTAAATGTAATTATCTCAAATTATAGGATATATTAGTAAAAATGATAGAAATGTTTGTGTTTAGATAGTTTCTCCATTAAATATTCTTTAATTTGTGATTTTATACATATCTTTCTTTTTTTTAAAAAAGAAAATGGGGGTGGGGGAAGGGGATTATAACGTGGGGAATCGAACCCTCACTAACAAGGTAATAGTTCGGGTAGTTAACCAACTAAACTACTAAAATTTTCAATTTTTAAACATACCACATGGAGAATTGAAATTAAAGAAATTTCAAAGTACAAAAAAAGATCTTTAAACAAGACTAAAAAAATAAGATAAACAAATTGAATCAGATAGAAGTAAATCTTAGGAAGCTTATTGTAAACTGGAGGGAAAACCACAAATAGGCAACTGCTCCCACATTAAATTAAACTATTTAAAGTTGATCACAAGTATCTCTTAGAATCCTAGTCTAAGGAGGTACTTTTGACCAATTGATTCAAAGTTCTTAGGGGTCTTTTATTATTTTTTAAAAAAACTAGTAGGAATATATTTTTTAGGCTTTTTTTTTTTATGATGTGCAAATAAAGTGAATTCTTGGGTTCTTTCTTTGGATTTGATTATTTTAATTTGAGGTAAGCATTTGATGAAGACTACAAATGACTATAGAGTTATAGTGGTTAGTGACCATAGTATAAAAATAATATAATAATAATTAATAATAGCGCCGTTTCTACCACCTTCTTACTCTTTTTTTCATAATTGAAAATATGCAGGCAAATATTTCGAGGTTTGAGCCAAAAGAAAAATGGGGATAAAGGTGAATTTATCATGAAGACTTTTTGCTTCTTAGAGGTCAATGAAAATGTGAAAATTTGACATTGTGGTTCAAAGAGATTCCTTTTGCTAAGAAGATATGGTCTCTCCGTTTTAAAATAAGTGTCACGTTATTGAAAATATTTTTAATTAAATTCAGCACGAATTATTAGTTTCATTCTCGAACTATTGATAGTTTTAAAAACATCATTTACTTGACTAAATGAACTTAAATATACCCCTAAATTTTGGTCAGGTTTAGAAATGTTTTCAACACTTCTCTCAGTTTTTTATTAAGAGCATTATGCTTTTACAAGAATTTGATACCACTTGCTATGTCATTTGAGAGATCAGGAGTGTATCTAAGTTTAGTTAGTCAGGTAGACGGATGGTTTCAATAATTCAAAGACGAAACTAATAATTTGCTTCAAGTTTAGTAAAAACTATCTTTATTTAATAAATGTCTCTTGAAAAATTGAACACCATTAAGAAGATGGAGTATAAAGATATAATTGAAAAAACATATTTATTTTTGTCTTAAATTCCTACAGTAATACTTATTTTTTAAACAAAACTTTTTTACTAAGATAACACTTGTTTTAGGACGAAGGAAGTATACGTAATTTAAATTATATTAGAGGATGATACATGATTATAAGGATAGAAGAAAATATTAGTACAAAATTCTTTTATGGATTATTGAGAAAAATTGTATATAATTGCTCGTTAAATAATGTTACTAAAAGCCATCCTAGATTAATTAGTATTCGAATGACTGTTCTGTTCTTTGTTAAAGTATTAATTATTTGTTATTTGATAATTAAGTTTGACTATTTATGAAATTATATTTGTACCCCAAATAAAATGTTCATAAGATGTATATAAAATATCAAGATAGAAAATATTATCGACAAGAAGATCGAGTATGAAATTCTGTTCACTCACTTTAATTGAACATATTTGTTTCCCTCCCTATTCAGCTAGAACTGGAAATCATGTATTTTACATATCCCGAGTCTTTGGTTGTTCCGAGTTAGTATAGAAAAAGTCATTGCTATTTGATTCTGACTTGTTTCTGAGATATTTCGAATTACTTATTGACATGACATAGTCAACGTGAAATCATGACATTTTGATAACTACATGTAGTACTTAAATTTGCATCCTCCCAAAGTATAGGATTGACACGGAG